CAAAATTGATAAACCTTTGGCCAACCTAACCAAAAATAGAAAATTAAAGTCCCTAATATCACCAATCAGAAACGACAAAGGCGAAATAACAACAGACACCTCAGAGATTCATAGAATCCTTAATGAATACTACAAAAAACTTTATTCTTAGAAATATGAAAATCTGAAAGAAATGACCAATACTTGGAAGCACACCAACTTCCTAGATTTAATCAGAAAGAATTGGAAATGCTGAACCTATATCAAGTACTGAATTAGAATCAACTATATGAAATCTCTCAAAAAAGAAGAGTCTGGGACCAGATGGCTTCACATCAAAATTCTACCAAACCTTTAAAGAGGAACTAGTACCTATATTACTTAACCTTTTCCAAAACATCAAAAAAGAAGGAATACTTCCCAACACATTCTATGAAGCAAATATCACCCTGATCACCAAACCAGGAAAAGACCCAACAAGAAAAGAAAATTATAGACCAATATCTTTAATAAAGATGCAAAATTATTTAATAAGATCCTAGCAAAGAGAATCCAGCAACACATCAAACGAATTATACACCATGACCAAATAGGTTTTATCCCAGGGTCTCAAGGTTGGTTCAATATATGTAAAACTATAAATATAACACATCACATTAAAAAACTAAAAAACAAAGACCATATGATTCTCTCAATAGATGCAGAAAAAGCTTTTCACAATATTCAGTATCCTTTCATGATCAGAACACTTAAGAAAATAGGTATAGAAAGGACTTTTCTTAAACTAATAGAGGCCATCTACAGCAAACCCACAGCCAATATCATATTGAATGGAGTAAAAACATTTCCACTCAGATCAGGAACCAGGCAAGGTTTCCCGTTGTCTCCACTGCTTTTTAACATTGTAATGGAAGTCTTAGCCATTGCAATCAGGCAAGAGAAGGGGATCAAAGGTATCCAAATAGGGTTAGAGGAGATCAAACTTTCACTCTCTATAGATGATATGATTTTATACCTGGAAAACCCCAGGGACTCAACCACAAAATTCTTAGAAGTGATAATGGAAAACGGTAGTGTCTCAGGATACAAAATCAATACTCATAAGCCAGTAGCTATTATATATACCAATAATAGTCAAGCTGAAAAAAAAGTCAAGGACTTTATTCCCTTTACAGTTATGCCAAAGAAGATGAAATATTTGGGAATTTACCTAACAAATGATGTGAAAGATCTCTATAAAGATAATTATGAACCTCTGAGAAAAGAAATAGCTAAAGATGTTAACAAACGGAAAAATATACCATGCTCATGGCTGGGAAGAATCAACATTGTTAAAATGTCCATATTACCCAAAGCAATTTACAAATTTAATGCAATCCCTATCAAAGCACCAGCATCATACTCTGAAGATCTGGAAAAAATAGTACTTCATTTTATATGGAACCAGAAATAACCTCGAATAGCCAAGACATTACTCAAAAATAAAAACAAATCAGGAGGAATCACACTACCAGACTTCAAACTATACTGTAAGTCTATATAGTGATCAAAACAGCATAGTATTGGCACAAAAATAGAGAGGTAGACGTATGGAATAGAATCGAGACCAAGAGATGAACCCAGACACTTATCGTCATTTGATCTTTGATAAGCCTATCAAAAATATAAATCGGGGAAAAGATTCCCTATTTAATAATTGGTGCTGGGAGAACTGGCTGGCAACTTGTAGAAGACTGAAACTGGACCCACACCTTTCACCATTAACAAAAATTGACTCTCACTGGATAAGAGACTTAAATTTAAGACATGAAACTATAAAGATTCTTGGAGAGAATGCAGGAGAAACACTTAAAGAAACTGGCCTGGGAGGATACTTTATGAGGAGGACCCTCTGGGGAACTGAAGCAACACCAAAAATACATTATTGGGATCTGATCAAACTAAAAAGCTTCTGCACAGCCAAGAACACAGTAAGTAAAAGAAGCAGACAGCCCTCAGAATGGGAGAGGATATTTGCAGGTTATGCTTCTGACAAAGGTTTGATAACCAGAATCTACAGAGAACTCAAACTTATTAATAAAAAAAGAACAAGTAATCCCATTTCACTGTGGGCAAGGGACTTGAACAGATGCTTATCTGCAGATGATAGGCACATGGCCTATAGACACATGAAAAAATGCTCATCATCTTTAGTCATCAGAGAAATGCAAATCAAAACCACTTTGAGATATCATCTAACTCCAGTAAGAGTGGCCCACATAGCAAAATCCCAAAACTACAGATGTTGGCATGGATGTGGAGAAAAGGGAAAACTTCTGCATTGCTGGTGGGAATACAAGCTAAGATGTCCCTTTTAGAAAGAAGTATGGAGAATATTCAGGGATCTTAAAGTAGACCTTCCATTTGATTCTGCAATTCCTCTACTAGGTATATATCCAAAAGACCAAAAATCACTTTATAACAAAGATATGTGCACCAGATTGTTAACTGCAGCTCAATTCATAATAGCCAAGTCATGGAAGAAGCCCAAGTGCCCATCGACCCATGAATGGATTAATAAATTGTGGTATATGTTCACCATGGAATATTATGCAGCCTTAAATAAAAAAAATGGAGACTTTACCTCTTTTACATTTACATGGATGGAGCTGGAACATATCCTATTTAGTAAAGTATCTAAAGAATGGAAGAAAAAATATCCAATGTACTCAGTACTATTATGAAACCAATTTATAATCACTCACATTTTCATGTGAAGAATAGATCACAACTATGGCCCAAGATGAAGGAGGGTGGAGGTGAGGATGGGAGGGGAAAGGGGAGGTCAGATAGAATGAGGGTGAACGGTGGGACCACACCTATGGTGCACCAGGTAAGGGTACATGTGGGACCTAATAGTACAGAGTATTAAATGTCTTAACACAATAATTAGGTAAACAAGATGAGGTATATATTTAAAAAAAAATGCTGAGGAAAAACAATGTCAAGAACATTGGGGCTCAGTGCCTGTGGCTCAAGTGGCTAAGGCGCCAGCCACGTACACCAAAGGCAGTGGGTTCGAATCCAGCCATGGCCCACCAAATAACAATGACAGCTGCAACCAAAAAAGGGCCAGGCCTTGTGGCAGGCGCCTGTGGTCCCAGCTACTTGGGAGGCTGAGGCGGGAGACTCACTTGAGCCCAGGAGTTGGAGGTTGTTGTCAGCTGTGATGACACAGCACTCTACCCAGGGGAACAGCTTGATGCTCTGTGTCAAAAAAAAAAAAAAAAAAAAAGGAAAAAAAACCCCAAAACGTTGGATTTTAAGGCAGGTGGGATAGTATGCACCTGTAGATTTGGGAGGCTGGCACAGGATTGCTTGAGCCCAGGAGTTCGAGACCAGCCTGAGCCACAGAGCAAAGTTCTGTCTCTACAAAGAACGGGGAAAAAATTATGTGGATGTGATGGTATGCCCCTACAGTTCTAGCCTACTCAGGAAGTTGAGGTGAGAGGATCATTTGAGACCACAATTATGAGGCTGCAGTGCACTATGAACACCTTTGCACTCTAACCTGGATGACACAAGTGGGATGCTGTCTCCAAAAAAAGAAAAAAAGAGATTTTCGGCCCTGCCAGCATGGAGAGTTCTCCTTAACACTTTGTGCTACTTTGAGATACACCTAAGAGAACAAAAAGACTGCTCTTCAGGAGTAAAGATTATGTCTGAGAATGAGACCTGTTTTAGACTCATCCCAACAAAGATTATAGCCAACACCTGACAAGATCCTCTGGGAAGAGAGTTTCCAGATTGAGTCTCACCAAGACAGAGGGGCCTAGAGAAGACCATAGCCTCTCCACAGATACTCCATTATGAGGCACAAAACCAAGTTCAAGGTGATTAGCCAATACATAAACTGTCTGCTAAAATGAAAATCAACACTATTCAGAATTTTCTTCAATGTCATATTCACAAGATCTACTTTTCAATCAAAAATGTCAAAACATACAAAGAAACAAGAAAACAGAATCCAGTAAAAAAAAAAAAATGATCAAACTCTTAAGACACAAAGAACATCCTACCTCACCACATGCCTTAATATAGTTTGCTTTTAAACTTTTGGATTTTTGCTAATCAAATGGTTGAAAAATAACACACCATTAAAACTCTAATTGACTGACATTCCTATTATGATAAATTAAACATCTTTTCATATGTTTAAAAATACTTCCTCTTCTCTGAACTTTTCATATGCTTTGCCCATGTTCCTACTGACTAACTTGAGTTGCTGTATTTTTTCATATTTATTTGCATGTGGTTTTCATATTTAAATAAATTAATTTGCTATGGTAAGAGAAACTGTATTTTTTACATTTATCATATAATTTTTAACTTTATTTACATTAGGTTTTTGAGGTTGAACTTTTGAATTTTTATGTATGAGCTTATCAATCTTTATTTTTTAAATTGCCTTCTCTGACTTAAGACCACCAAAAAAAAATCCTCCATTTTTTCCTAGTACTTTTAGCATTTTTATTTTGATTTTTTAATATTTTTTTTTATTTTTTGAGACAGAGTCTTACTATGTTACTCTTGGTAGAGTGCCGTGGTGTCACATCTCACAGCAACCTCAAACTCTTGGGCTTATGTGATTCTCTTGCCTCAGCTTCCCAAGTAGCTGGGACTATAGGCATCCGGCACAATGCCTGTAGTTGTCATTGTTGTTTGGCAGGCATGGGCTAGATTTGAACCCGCCAGCTCCTTTGTATGTGGCTGGCGCCCTAGCTGCTGAGCTACAGATGCCAAGCCAGCACTGTTTTTTACTTTTAAACTCTTTACCCATCTGGAATTTATTTAGTTGTATAGTAAGTACATACTCATCTTTATTTCCTTTTCAAATGACTATATAGTTTACTAAATATCATATAGTCCAGATAAATCATTTTTCAGCATTATTAATAATTTAAGCTTATTTTAAGTGAGATAAAACCAGTTTCTGACTAGAATGACTGGACTAAGACAGAGAATATATTAACAGACTGTACCTCATACTCTGATTCTAAAGATATTTTATTCGCTTTCAATCTTTTTTCCAATTCAGGATCAATCTGTAGAAAAGAAAAAAGAGCCATAAGTTATTTAAGTCTGTTAGATTCAAATTTTAATTTTAAAACTTACAGAAGGGTGAAATAGTATAACTAAATACAAAAACACATGGCAAAATCTCCATCATCTACTCTAATCACATAATCTTAACTAATGTACTACTACTATCTATTGCAACTATTAACAGCTGATATCTACTACTTGTTAAGTGCAAGGCATTTTGACATATATTACTTTGTTTAATCTTCAAAAACCCTGTATTATTATTATCCTTATTGTCACAAGTAAGGAAAATGGGGCATAGGAAGTTTAATAACTTATCAAAGAGGCAGAGTCTAGCTTGTCAAATGTTATATTTGACAAGATCAAAGTAATTTGTCTACACAAAGGGAAGAATAAGAGGACAAAGTTCCAGAGTACTATGCTCACATCGCAAGCACTATGACTGAGTTGTGAGAGGGCTCCCTCCACTGGACTAGCCTCTGCCTGGATAGACTGGGGACCTGCCTAGAGTCTGTATGAAGTCAGTGCACTGAAAACAGTTGCAGCAGGGATTAGGCAGCAGCTGATCCCAGGTTTCTGTAGCTGAAGCCTTTCTGTACTCTTGGGGGTTTGGTGCCAAGTCAGCATGGGACTCAGCTTTGTGGCAGTGGCCTTCATATCACCCTCACCGGACTGGGAAGGGAAATGACTAAGTGGAGGCTCCCTGAGCCATACCCTGTGACTGGAAGCCAAGCTCCCCTTCCTACAGCACAATGGGATCTAGGCATGAGAGCTAATTTGAACAACATAGGCTTTGATGTGGGAAGCTTTGGGTAACTGTTTCAGTGGGTCAGGTGTGGAGGGGAGAATTCCATGGTTCCTGGGCTGCTGAAACTGACCTCTTCCTACATGACTTGGCATTCCTGTAGTCTCTGAGCCTCTAGAACAACCCACTGCCTGTTTGGCCCTGACTCTACCTTCCAGGTCCTCTGCCTGTGTGGCACTGCTTTCAGCTCTGAAGTCCTGCTCAGAATCCCTGCTTTGGGTTCCTCCTCTGTCCTACTTCTGAGGCTCTCCCACTGGGGCCTGAGGCTCAGACCCTATGGCTCCTGAGCTCCCACCAGGTCCCATGACACCACTCCCGAGATTCCAGTACTGAATCTGGATTCCTAAGCCTCTACCCCTGAGCCTCCACCATTGCCGCAGGGCCAGCAGAACTGCTTCAAGGTCCTGTAAGGGCCAGACCAGCGCCATTTTGTTTTCTACTACATAAGCTCTGTTAACCTGCAGGGCCACTCCCTGCTGCCTCCCCCACCCCTGGTAGCACAGCCATTAAGCCTTGAATTGAGTCACCTAAGGCAGACAGCTGCCATAATAGGCAATAAGTATCAGTTCCCTTGAACAGCTCCCATAATAGGCAATAGGTTTCTACTTCCTTGAAATTCAGGTATTCTCCTTCCTAATTAGGCTACACCACCTCTAGCCCCGGTTAAGAAATCCCCCACCCCTCACCTGTACCGATCCAAATCCTCCTTTACTAATGAAATCACCAACCACCAATCAAGAGTGTACTCGTAATGGACCCTACCCTTCTTGCTTTCTGTACCCCATAAAAACTTGCTCTACCCCAAGTTCGGGGCTCGTCCTCGGCTTGTATGCCAGGAGAGTCCAGGCCTGGGCTTGGCCCGGGCCTGAATAAAACTCACCTCTTGCTTTTTACATTGAAGTGTGTCTCAGACTGTTTGCTGGGGCCACTTTGGGGGAATTTCAGGCATAACAGTCCAACACCCCACCAGGACTTCCAGCCTTAAGCCACCAGTACACTGGGACCTGGTTCAAGCAAAAACCCACAGCCTAGCTGCCACTGTCACCTGTGTGAAGAGATCCTGGGCAGAGCAACCCCACAATGTCAGCTTCCATAAAGAGGGTTTCACCCAGCTCTCAACCTGAACTTCCTACAACTATCTAGTGAACCACCCAACATCTAACACAAAAATCATCCAGAACAGACTTGAACACAGGTGAACAGGACAAATCAGAACAGCTGCATTACAAGTTTCTACTGTACAGGGTAGGAAAAAATACACCATCAGGGACCTCCCCTTTTTCTAATTAATCTGGAGAGTTCCCAGCAAAGAACAGTTGCCCTGCAAACCTATTAGCCCAGAGTTGAGAAAAGAGGTTTCAGGGAAATGGAAACCTTTTTCCATTTTCCTGGCAAATGGAAAAACAGAACAATTGAACATCCCCAAGGGATCATAATGGAGCTATAGTAATTAACTCCAACCACAAGGAAACTGCTGAAATGACAAAAATAGAATTTAGAATATGATCAGAAATAAGATACATGGAATTGAAGAGAAAGTTGAAAATCAACAAAAAGAAATCAAAAAAATTTTCAGGAAATTAATGAACATGTTACTGAAGAGCTAGCCAATATAAGAAAGCATAAAATAGAACTTACACCGTCATTTAGGAAATTTTAAAAACAGTAGAAAGCTTCAGCAACACACTAGACCAAGGAAAAGAAGGAATTTCAGAACTTGACTAAAAAGCCTCTCAAACTAACTCAGACATTTAAAGAGGCAAAGAGGAAAATAAAAAAGGCAGAGCAATCACTTAGAGATAGGGGACTATGCAAAGCAAATTAGCATGTGAATGATAGATTCCCCTGAGGGAGAAGAGGGCTAAAAGCATGGAAAATCTATTCAACAGAATTACTGTATTTTACCATGTATAATCAACTCTTTTTGGCCCAAATTTTTGAGGGAAAAATAAAGATGCATATTATACATAACATGGAACGGAAGAGCCCAGAGGATCTCCTGAGTTCTGGAGGATCTGGGAACCAGTGGGAGTGTGGGGGATAGAGGAGGGGGTGGTGTTGGGGCTGGCAAGGCAGGCTGCATCTATGTGGGGGCAAAGGAAGCCTGAGGCCTGGCCACATGGAGGGGACCAGAGCATCTGTGGCCTCAGAAGCTCCTGCTCTGCTGCTATGCAAAGTGGCAGGGAGAGAAGGGCTCCCAGGAGAGAAGGAAGGGGGAGCCTTCAGAGTGGGTGGCTGCAGAAGGGGGTGTGATCTGCATGTTTACTAGGGAAGTGTTAGCCCTCCCCACATGTGTGTGTCCTGGCTAAGAGCTGGCTATGTTCTCTAGGGGTGTTTCCTGAAAGTCTGGGCCAAAAGCATGAGTGAGTATTAGACATGGGAGTGCCTTTATATATAGCAAAATATGGTATTGAGGAAAACTTCCCTGATAGCTCCAAAGATCCAGACATCCAAATGCAAGATGGTCATCGAACACCAGGAAGAGATGTAATAAATAGGACATCTCCAAGACACATAGTAATCAATCTGACCAAAGTCAAAATGCAGGAGAAAATTCTACAAGCATCAAGTTGTAAGCAACAATTAACCTACATGGGAAAACCCCTCAGGCTAATAATAGACTTCTCAGCAAAAACCTTACAC